CCACTGTGCTCCCAAAGAGCGGCACCAACCCAGGGGTCCCCCATGCACAAAAAGAACCACTGACAGCATCCAAGCAAACTAGAATATATTAATATTTACAGATCTGGGTTCATACTAAGAAAAATAAAAGAGAATAGGAGGCAGCAGAGGCCTTTTGCATCCTGGCTCTCCCGTCCCGTGTGCGGCACCAAATCGCCTCCCTGTCCCTCCCCCTGGGTCCGCAGACTTTTTGCACCGATTTCCACCCACTCGCAGCCCATCCGGGTGCATCCAGCTGCTCCCTGCAGCTGGGACACGAGTCGCTGTTGAAGGGAAACGCTGGGAACACGCAGGCCACTGAGAAGTGGGGCAGAGGCTGCTCTGTCCTCCTGGGACGCAGCTGGATTTCTTGGCTTGCGAGGCGGAGCCATCRCAGCCTCACAGATCCGGCCCTCGGCTTTGCTGCGTCCCAGGGAGAACAGCTTGGAAAAGAAAATCCCCGGGGAAACGCTGCGGCCGCTGCGGGTGGCGGAAGGGGAGACCCGAGTTCCGCGGGACAGTTTCCCCTCCTGGACCCTTTTYGAGACCGAGACCAACGCTGGGGTTTGGTGGGACACAGTGGGATGTGGTGCCCAGAGCTGCTGCTCACGTGGGGCTGCAAAGGGGCGGCCAAAAGGGCCGAGGCTGCAGAACGGGTGTCCCCAGCTGTTCTGCCACGCGGGCTGGTGACCAGGGTCTTCTCCAGGGCTTGGTCCGTGGCTAGACGCCAGGAGACAAGAGCCCCTGCCCCTTTGCGTGCTTCCCTAGCATCCCTGAGCTCTCCCTGCACCTCTCTGTACGCCTTAGGCCCCTGCGCGGACCCTCCCCTGTGCCCCACATGCCCCTGCTTGGTGTTGGGAGCCTCCTAGCGTCCCCCATGCATGGGGCAGCCGGCYCTGCCTCTTCCCACGTGGACAGCAGCGACCAGGAGGGCAGCTGGGCCRGGGGAGCTGCCAGGAGCATCAGTGGGGCCCACGGTGGCAGCCACGGCTCTGGGGCCCCGCACGCAGGGAAGGGGACAGGGTCGGTGGCCTGAGCCTTGAGCACAGCCCTGATCCGAAACGCACCGAGTAAGGCAGAAGGTGGGAGTCACGGGGGCAGAAGCGGGTGTGGGAGCGCGGGCTCCAGTGGCGTTATCCCAGGCTCGCCGGGAAGTATTATCCCAGGCTTGCCAGGAAGYGGCCAGGAATTTTGCGCGGAGCAGCAACGGAGGAGCGTTCGAGGGCTGACGGAGGCTGGTGCTCGCATGTTCCCCCRGGCAGCCAGGTCCCCGTGGACAGGCAGGAAAGGAGGCAGGAGCGGCGCTTTCTCCAAGGTGCCGCCGGGGGCCGGAGCATCCTTGCGTCCTGCCCAGCTGCTCAGTGATCCAGCTGCTCCCACAGGGCCTTCGCAAAGGGGCGCGGGGGGGATTGGGGGCGTCTAAACTGCCGAATCCTCCTGCCCGCCTCCAAGATCGGGCACCTCCGGCGGAGCAGAGGGTGGATGGGCTGCCAGCGCGGCGCAAACCGCCCTGCCCAAAGCCTGCGGCACCGGCACCGGATCCCTTTTCCTTTCAGAAGCCGGTGAGAAAAAGATCTACYGAGCAGTGGCTGTAGGTTCACGTCTGCTGCTGGAGGCCCCATGAGGCTGCCCATGGGGTTGGGAGGAAGAGGAGGAAGGCTGGGAGGAAGGGGAGGAGCACCAGGCCACGTGGCTGTCGTTCCAGCTGCCCAGCCTCCCTCACAACTTCTGGATCTTCTCGGCTACGATGACGGGATTCTCCTTGCGGATTTTCTCAGCCGCTTCTGCCTTGTAGTCGTAGGGGCAGGCGTGCACGTCCGAGTACCGGTGAAGGGCGCAGAAGAGGTTCCCGCAGCGGCAGTCGAAGCCTGAAGGGAAGAGAGGACGTTATTCCCAGGAAGGCAGCAGAGCCCGRGCTGTTCCCCGCTAGGCCCCCAAGCCCCATGAACGCACTAAGAGGAGATGGGCCCTGGCCCGGAGCAGGGGGAGGGTTTGGGGCAGCTCTTCGGTTTCCTGCGGCTTAGCTGCTCCCAGGGAAGCTGCGCCGAGCGCTTGTGCCTCCCGCAGCGCCAGCTGTCAGGGCAGCGGGAAAGGCTCTCGGGAACAGCTGTTCCTGCAGCCCCTGCGGATCAGGACACGCGGCGCCAGGGAGCAGAGTGGGAGGGTTCTGATCTGGAGCAGCCTCTGAGCTGGAGCGGGGCCCTCCGAGGCACCATAACAASCACGAGCGCAAAGCGCTACGGCTGGGCAGCAACAAAGCCAGAGGCAACACACCCTGACCTCCTCTGAGCTTCCAGTGCCTCCGAAATGCATCAACTCCGCTTGGAGACGATGCTGTTGGGAAGCGCAGAGCACCCTGTCACTATTTACCCTGTAAGTGTCTCCCAGTCTCCAGGGCAGCTGGGGCCGYGCAGCGCGGGGCTCCACGGACCTGGGCTGGACACTGCCCAAGAAGCTTTTATGGAGGACACCAAACACGGGGGCTAAGCAGGCCGAGGAGGCGCTGCCAGCACAGCGTGGCCTGGGCTAACTTTGTCCAGGGAAAACCTACAGGGTCGCTATAGGAGGGATGCTGATTGTAATAACACACAGCCTCGGTAGCTGCTTCACCAGTTTCCTTCCCGGGAAGGAAAGGCTTGGAGCCTGGTCACCCGACAYGGCGTCTCCCCAGCTCCGGCTCCACAGCTCTGCCGGCTGATCCCGCGCTCACAGGGCTAAGGGCAGGAACCAAGCGGCGTGAACGCAGGGAAGGAGTCTGGCAGCGGGATTTGCAGTCTCAGTCTAGCTTAGTTCCTGCCCCGACTATGGAAGTTTTACCGCACACTTTAGTGGGAGCAGAATTAGATCAACAGCGTGTTGGTGGTTGCCTTTGCTCCTACCCCAACACCGCTTGCCAGGCAGCAGAAGTAACCCAAGGGGCCCCGCTCCATCCAGAGTATTCTTTAGAGGGCCACCTGTAAACAGTGACCCATGCCAGGACCAAACTACTTGGCAGGACCAAACTACTGAGGCTGCGGGTGGTTTTTGCCGCAGGTGGGACCTTACCAGTCAACCCTATCTTCTTCCGGCAGGTGAAGCACCGGTTCTTCTTCTGTTTCACTTTTTCGGGAACCATCTTGTCCTCGGCTGCGTTCTGGGATATTTCAAGGAGGGTCCCTGGAAGAGAGACAAGGGCTTCATTATCCTCCTTGGTTAAGTTAAGCGAGGTATTAGCTTTATCCCAACAGCTGCTCCAGGCCTCCTGTTTCCACATAGCCGCGCACCGTGAATATGTCACACCAAGGTGCGAGCTTGGTGCCCTTCCCTAACCTCTCCCTTCCCATTCCCAAAGTGCAAGGCTCAGGAAAAAAAAAGAAAAAAAAAAAAGGTTTAGCTACAGCATATGTAAGGTAACGTGATGCTCGTGATGCTAAGCAGAATTACCTGGCGCCTGTCACAGGTTAAGCACGCAGCTGGATAGTCACTACGGCTTGGCTGCCGTTCAGCGGCTCGATTGCACATCGGAGCCGGGAGTTAATCTTTGCAATGTTAACCCCTTCCAAGGAGGCCCTGCTAATTATTCCTGTTGCCTCTTATGTAAGTGTTCCTCATATGTAGGTCTCAGAATGCTTTGCCCAGATACTCATCGCCGTCTCTAATCTACCAGAAGCAAAAGCGAGCTCCCAAAGCCAGATTGTTAAAGGTCACTGGCGCTCAGCAGGATTCCCAGCAGCACCTAAGCAGGTTAGAGAAGTCAACAGGCGAGCTCCCCTGCTCCCCTGCAGTGCGTGCTGCTCRCAAGGCCGGGCCGAGGAGAGCAACAGGCGGTTTGTGGGTTTGACCCTCAACAACTTTCTAGACCCCCCCAGGCACGCAGGGCTCTCCCAGGTCTCTCCTGCACCTCCAGACTCTCCTTCAGACAGTCACTCCCACMTGCCTGGTCTAAGTTGTCTCCTGGGCCTGCGGGCAAGTGGTTACCAAGCCCAAACCCTACAGTCAAGTCAGTGCCTGACGCCTGTTTTTTAGCAATCAACAGTCCTGATTTTTCAGGTTTGTGCACAAGCAAACCGAGTTACAGCTGGCGCAGGGTGTCTCCAATGCGACGTGTCACCCGGTTGCAGCTCCACGGCAACACCTTGTAAGAGAACAACCGGAGGAYGTGCCTTGCTGGGCAACAACACCCGTCCTCCTCCACTACTGGGATCACTTCATGGGATCCTATTTATAGATTCACAGGGGATTCACGTGGGATCCACTCTGAGAACAAAACGACGGTGTCGCCSCTCCTCTCCAAGGGGCAGGTGCCCCTCAGACCGCACGGGACACGAGGCCGCCCCGCAGCTGCCACACGAGCCCCTCGGCAGCGTCACACAGAGCTCCCAGCTCCTCTCCTGGGGCTCCCTGCTCTTCTATGGGGCTCCGTGGCCCCCTGCTCCGCTCATCCCTAGGGAGGGATGGTGCAGGTGGCCCAGGGGAGGCTCCGGGGGAGGCTCTAGGCTCCCTGGCACCGTCGCCACTGGGCATCACGGCGGGTGATCCTGCTGCCAGAGCCGAGGACTGGCAGCCACTTGGTGCTCAGCCCACAGAGCCATCTCCTTTGGCCTGCCCTCGGGCACAGCATTTTCTCTCCTATCTCAGAATCAAGAAAACTGTTTTCTTTTGAGCTTAGCTCTCTTGTTAGCTGCACCTTTATTGCTGGTAGGTGCAAACTCTTCGACATCCCACTCAAAGAGACCTGCTCTATTTGTGTCACGTGGCCCACCTGACGAGGAAGATGCTGATGAGGCTTCTTCTGTCTTAGTGAATCTTTCCGTCTCACTGCTGTTCTCCTCTCTGGATATGCTCATGGCTGTCATCTGATGGGTCACAGGGCTCTGAGCACTGGGAGCATTGGCAAGAAACAAACAAAGCATTTTCATTTGATGATCAGTTTTGTGGGAGAGACCTTAAGCCCATAAGCCTAATTTGATTACACTCAGAGGGGGCTCAGCAGTAGAGGAGGCCGATTCCCCCAGAGACTCGGGGTCAAAGTTCTCCACAATCATAAATGGAATAAACTTGTGATGATCTCAGCTTCCTTTTCCACCCAGCTACATCTCAAAGCCCATGCAAGCGTGTCCAGGGCTATGAACTGAACTTCAGTGCAATGGGGGAGCTCAATGAGCATCCTGCTTCCTAACAAACAGCACTGAAGTTTCCGATTTTGTTCATGTAGCCTCAAGGCTGGATCAGCACTAGTGCTGTATGTCTGGACCAGGCTGAAGCTGAATGGTTTAACACAGCTAACGAAACAGCACAGCAACTGGGTGCACTGGCTGTAGGAGAACCAGGCTGCTACTTATTTTACTACTAGCTTTAATTTAGTGCTGACACTCTAGGACCTAACTGCACACAGCAGTCACTATAAGCAAAGACATCTCAAGTGTCCAGATAATAACAGGGTCACTGTGAACAGCTCCCCATGGCCACACAAGGGACGAGGACGTCCCCAGGCAATCAGTCCACCCAGAGCCCATGCCCCTACCTGGCTTTCACATCCTCCGGCGCGGAGCCTCCCTCTGCACATGGCTCCRCGATGGAGCCCGAAGCCACCGGGCTGCTGTTGGGCCCGTTGGCTGCTAGGAGACAAGATCACAGYGGTGGTGAACGCACGGAAACGGGAGCAAGTTCCTCAGCTTCTTGACAGCCACGGCCAAGAGCTGCTGCTGGGCACCTGCCATTGCTGGGGGCTTTTAAACCTTTGGCAAAAACCTACCTTCAGTTACGCTGACCCCTCTGCCATTCTTTGACTCCCCTTCTCAGCATTARAAAGCAAGCTCCACATCAACATAAACGTTCACCTCTCAGTATAAATAAAGGTGCTGCAGGGACCAAATTACTTTGAATCTGGTGCTACTTTGCAGCTCCTCCGAGGTATAACGACCAGATCCACAGTGGCTGAAAAGCCCTGGCTTCAAGAGGAATATGCTGGGGGTTTTGGCAGCTGGGGATCTAAGTAAAGATCTTAAAAAAAAACCCTTGCAATTAATCCTTTGTCAGGAAGAGCTGCGTCCCTAACATACACTTCAAGCGGAGAATTTGAGCAAAGCCATTACCATGCTCAGGACCAAAACTAGAAGGTGTTTCTCAAATGCTGTACACGGGACATCTGCAGAGCCTCTCAGCAGGAGAAAACCCTGCTAATGATGGACCCTGTTGAAATGAAGAAATTATCCAAGCCGTAAAGGCCAAATTCTTCTCAAGCAAAATTTCACTAATTTGGAAAGGTTTTTCATGGTCTCCAGCAACCACTGCACAACTCAGGGAGCAAGAAGCAGCTGAAGATCTGGGCTGCTGAAGTTTTGCAGTTTCCTGGAAGGTGCAGCCTAGGACAGTGCTTGACGAACAGCTGGAATGGGGAAGAGCACCCTCTTATAGGGAGCAGAAGAGCCCCCAGGTTTGGGCATTTGATTTAGAGGCTTGAGGTTTATAGGAAAAGGCAAAGACCTGAGTTTTCCAAAAAGGAAATACCTTCCAGAAGGAATACCTTTCAAGGAAGGTACTGGTGGTCAGTACCAGGCTGCAAGTGCTTTATTCTAGCTTCTTAAAATAAATTGCATCCAGGTGTCCATTTTAGACAGATTTCTAGGACAAAAATCTACCTGGGGGGCTTATCCGGTCGCTGCTCTGCCGCCTCTGTAGAAATTCCTTATAGCAAACGGAGCACATGCCGTTGGTCCGGGGACTGCCGTAAAAGCCACAGCCCGTAGTGCACAGCAGAGGCACCTGCGTTTGATTCGTCTCCTGAGCCATCCTTTCTCCTCCCAGAAGCCAAGCTACAAACAGGAATTAGGGGGAAAAAAAAAGAAAGATAAAAACAAGACAGCTGCTAACAGTGAGAGAAATAGTTCATTGTAGGCTGCAGCTGACCAGGAAGAAGCACAAAAGATCCCAAGAGAGGCCAGTTCCTGCACGCACACAACAACGGATCCGGCTCCCTTGAGCAGCAGATACACAGGGCCCTTCCGCAGCAACAGGATCCGGGTCCTAAAGCCCTTAATCCACCTAGTTGCCCGGAGTCCATCTACAAAGTCCACAGTAACTGAACTGGCTCYGGGCTGCTCCCTCCTTGCACAAGGAGCCTGACTAAATTCGCTGTAAAAGGCGTTCACATAAGACCTGACTGATCGCCGCCGTCCTGTAGGTGACTAATGACTCCTGCCAACACCAAAAACAAAGAATGCAGGTCAAACATCCAGGTTAATTAGTTACGTTTTACATTTAACGGCATTTGCTTCCATTTCAAGGCAGGTTTTTTTTATTTTTTTATTATTTTTTTTTTTATCTCAGGAAAATTCTGCAAGCGAAACAGAAAGGATTTATTGACTCCCATGCTGAATGTACTCAAACACTTCCCAACATTCCCTGGCAGACAAGGGGAACGAGACATTAATATTTTGGGGCTGGAAACAGGCTTCTCTCCAGCAGTAAGGTGCGATTCTGGAGCAGCTTCCCAAGCGGAACAGCGGGAATGGGGAACCTACTTTTGACATGCAGCTCAGCAATTTCTCTCCGGATTACATGAAGTCACCTGCAAAAGCAGGAAGTTGCCCTCTGCAAGGGAAAACCATAAGCAACAGCTCCCAGTAACGCCAATTCAGACGGAGCAAAGCATAGAATGTAGCTCCCAGCAGGAATTCCACGTTATTCCCAGGGAAAAATCCTGCTGCCAGGGCAGCGCCGGGCACGGCACCGTCACCACTGTCTTGCGCCGGGTGAAAAGGAGGGACGGATGCTATGGAAAATGCCTTTCGGCTGCGCTGGGAAGCTCTGCGACCCGGGTTTCCATCCTGCCTTCCTCGGGACAGGAAGCAGGGCCTGTGTCCCGCTGGGATGAGGGAAGCCGGAGTCYGCGGGCCGGCGGCTCCTGGCACCCACGTGGCCCCGCTCCAGGCGCCCCGCCGCATCTGGACACACAGCACCCACAAGCAGCATCCAGCTCCTCTCCCTCGTGCTCCTAAAAACTTCCACCGCCAAGGGGCTAAGGCAGCGGGAATGGGGAATAATTCCCCAGCCCTGAGTTCCCGGTGGGACGGAAGTGGCTCGGCTCCAGGGGCTCCCTCCTTGCTGGGTGGTGCCCGGTGCTCCCGGCGCTCCCAGCACACGGGGCTGGGAGCAGAGCCCCTTCCCTGCCGGAGAATCCCAAGGCAGGAGCCCTGCCGGCGGCCGCGCTGCCCTTCTCGGCCTGCGCAGCGCCCCGTGTCCCCCCGGGGGGGCGGCTGCTCCTCGGGGGCCCTGGGGCTCCTACGCGGCGGGACGGGGGGGCCCCAACGTGGGGGGACGCGACTCACCGGGGCCGGGGCCTCCGCCGCGCTCCGGCCTAGCAGGCCCGGCCGCCCGGGCCCGGATCGCGCTCTCCTCCAGGCGGGCGGCTCCGGAGCTTCCTGCCCGCTGCCAGCGCGGCCTCCGGCCGCGGCGGGAGCCCCAGTGCCCCGCGGGGCGGCTCCGAGGGCGCCGCGGGAGCCGCGCGGGCGCGGSGACGCTGCGAGGGGACGGGGATGGGGACGGGGGTCCGCCCCGTGCCTCAGTTTCCCCGCGCGCCGGGAAATGGAGGCCGCGGCCGTGCGGCCTCGGCGGCGCCGCCCGCACTCACCGGCGCTGGGGCCGCTCCGCTCCGCTGCGCCGGGCCGAGCCGGGCCGAGCCGAGCCG